TCTCTCTCTCTCTCTCTCTCTCTCTCTGTTTGTCACTCTCTCTGTCTCTCTCTTTCTCTCTCTTTGTGTGTGCCTGTCTCTCTGTCTCTTTGTATCTCTCAGTTTCTCCTTCTCTCATTTTCTTTCTCTCTTTGAGCAAATCATGATATACACTCCTTATCCACCCCTCTCCCCCAGAAAAAAGAAAACACTTTTTACCCCAACCTTACAAGAACCCCCGTAAAATTCTGATAATAAAAATCAGAGACAAAAGCAACAGACAGAAAACAGCAAAGAAAAAAGACAACCAACAACTTTGTATCAGAATGTCAACATTTTGCTTGAAAAAAAACCCAACCCAAAACAAAACCCAACCCAAAAAACCCCCAAACCCACCCCACCAACCAATGTTTCTAGATCAAAGCTTGAACACGGACGTGTACAAAGCCTTGGTCTTTGAGATGCGATTTAGGACGTGCGACGTGATCGATTGTCTCTGTACGACGAAATATCTCATTTAAGCCGTAGAGAGACTGCTATTTGGCCACTTTCAATGGACGAAGTCATAAACCCCGCTCCTGGAGATGTGTGTCGGGTCTTACGATACAGTACATCGAACCCGGGAAAGTGGAAAGGACTAGTTCATGTCTATAAATATCCCAGACAATAACATAAGCTAGAGCTAAGAAAAAGGTTTTGTTATGATTATGATTATTAGTGTTGTTCATAGCCATGGCAGCCTCGCAAATTCTTATATATAAAGTCTTGGTCAAGTGCATGCTTGCTGTTGAAAGCAGACCTTACTAATAGTAGTACTCGAGAGTTGTTTTTGTTTTTGGATTTTTTTTTCTAGGGGCCAGGGTAAGAGACAAAAGCGAAAAGGAGAAAAAGAAGGATGGACAGAGTTGTGGAAGAGTGTTAGACACGTTTGAGAGTCTAGGAATAATAAAAGATTGCCCCCCCCCTCTCTTCATCTCACCTCCCCGATCTCATTTCTTTTCACTCATTGAAGCTTCTCTTGTGCATCCTTCTCCTTCCCCAACTGGCCCTCGTACGCATACACATACACACACACACACA